GTGCCCGGTCCAATACTTAGAGAATATTGGACTGGCAACAGAGCATTTTGATTGGTTGATTTTAGTTATTGGCCCTCTGACTGCCTGAGTTGTGTAATAAATAATGTTATTTGTCATCATCTCATTCTTATCAGAAAAGTACAAAATTTTTTCCGCAGATTTCTTCATTATTGTGCCACTACAATACAAAGACATTTTCGTGGACATAAAGGCAGAGAAATATACAGACGGATTGTACAGGTGAGGCTATTAAGGCTTTCTTTTCATCACTGTACAGTTGTTTGTGTTAAAAAATGTATTGCCCTAGGTACTATGTACAATTTTATTGACTGAGTGGGAGAGATGTATAGAAAAAATTTTTGACCCAAGAGTGAGCACAGCAAGTTTTTTTGTGTTAATCATTCAAAGTTAAGCACATCAAGGAGGTACATTTGTATGGCATTGAATTTTGTCAAAGCAAAATATAAATTCCGAACCCAAGATTGAACTTGGTTGAAGTTTGTCAGACTTAATATTGGTTGTTGAAGTATGTGTCTCTTTAAAAATTGGAATTTGTACAAATGGAAAATTTTTAGACTTCTTTAAAATAATATATGAATATTTGACCAAAAATTATTCTCTTATTAGGAAAAAGTAACCAAGATGCGCATTGATTTCTTCAACAAGCAAGCAACACTGGTAAGTAAAAACCAAGGCTACAGAATTATGTAATTTTTTGATAACCTTGCATTTATTTCTAGCGAGGGCTTTGTGTTGAATGTTCTAACTGAGAAGTTAATACACTTTTTCTTTCAGATTCAGAAACTCTGGAGAGGTAATTAAAGCTCTGCTTTCAATCACAAGTAGTTAAATGATGTGAAATAAAAGTTTTGTTTAATTTTTATCACAGTTTCTACGAAATAAAGCCTCACCTTTTAAACTGTCCATTTTAATCCAGGTTATTATATCCGCAAATACATCTACAATTATTACAGTCGCAAGAGGTACTTAGAAGGAGTCATTATCAAGAATGAAGCGGTTCGGTAAGAGAGAACTTACCCTGTTACTCTAATGAATATATATCCTCCGAAAAAGAATATGAAAGGAGGTAAATTTTGAGCTCAATAAAGAAATAGAGAAAGATGTTTTTTGTCTTATCAACAGTGTGGGACACAGAAAAAAATTGAGTCCCCATGAGGTTTGATTCCTCATGGGGACTCAGAATTTTTCTTTGTTCCATGCTCTTGACAAGATGAAAAAGTACATCTTTCTCTATATACCCTCCCAGTTTCCATGGTTTTAACTTTGACCAAGACAGAATTTCTCCTTAGAATATCAATACAGAATCAAGCGGAGAAGTGATGAGAAGAAAGAAAACTATCAGTCAGAGATTATTAGCTGATCCAATACCAAATTCTCCAAACCAACATCATAAGAATTGTGTGCTAGACAGTACAAGGAATTAGTAATAAGATCTTGGGAATGTAAGGCTTAGAGATTCATTGCTACTACGGTGAAAATCATTGAATTGGGGAATGGACTTGCTGTTCAATTTTCTCGGCAACATATCTGCTCTCCTATGCTGACCGAAACACATTCTTCTGTGTTGAAGTAAGCATTTGTCATTCCTCTTCAAGTGTATAGAGAATCAAGGTTTTACTGTTATGCACAGCAATTTAAGTTAACGTTGTGATATTATATGTACAGGTAACAAAAGGTATTTTTTAGCTAATACTGATAATGTTAAATAATTTGGATATATCAACAAAGTTGAAGTGGTAAATTGGCCACCGTAACGATTACAAAAGCTGACGTTTCAAGTGTCAGCCCTTCGTCGGAGCTAAATGTTAAATGCATGTTAAATGTTTTATAATGTTAAATAATTTGGATATATCAACAAAGTTGAAATGGTAAATTGGCCACTGTAACGATTACAAAAGCTGACGTTTCGAGCGTTAGCCCTTTGTCGGAGCTAAATGTTAAAAGCATGTTAAATGTTTTATTCATGGTCTCAGGACAGAGTTGGAGGAGTTTGCACTTAAATCAAAACAAGAAAAGGAACAGAAAAAAGAGATGGAAGAAAAGGTAATGCAAAGAGAAGTTTTCTTAGAGAAACAGGAATAAGCTCACAGCTCACTTGCAACCCACAGTAGTAGGAAGGGACAGGTTGTAGAACATTAGTCACTGTAACATTGCTAAAACACTGTGTGAAACATAGACTTCTCGTCAATTTCTTATTGTAGCTTGCAAGAGAAAGAAAAGCTAGAGAAACACATTATTACATCAGCACTCATCAAATTCCTGGAGTATACAACTCACCCTTTTTCCCACCACAACCATCAGCAAAAGAGATTGAGCTGAGGAAGGCAAGACCTCTTAGCCACAGAGGCCGGCAGAAGCTGAAATCTGATGCAGCACAGATTCTTAATCAATCACAAAGTGTGAAAATGGTTACAAGGGAGTCAAAGACTGTGCCTCTTCCACCAATATCTATGAAATCAACAGCAAAAGTACAAGTAAGAAGTGAATAAACAATATAACCTTTAGGATAAGATGAAAAGAACTATTCAGAAGTTTTCAATTGAATGGTCACACACTAGGGTGAGGGTAGGAAACCTGGGTCTATATTTGATGTAGAGATTTTATGGAAAGGTGAGCATGATCTGTAANAATGAATTTACAGTCCTAGCATTGGAACTGTATAGAGCTCAGCTTCTACCTGGCACACTTGATTGTAGCAACAGTCTCTAGGATTGCTTATATACGAACAATTGTTTTTTAATTCTAGGGTCCATTCCGTACTCCAAACGAGGTGTGGCAGCAGAGACACAAACCTCTTAATCCAACATTAAGGGTGGCTACTTCGTACCTCTCGGCAGAGGATGCAAGGTAAATGTTGGAGGATTACTAAGCTTTAAAGTAAAAAGCAGGTTTAAGTTTAGAAGACTTCTCCCTCTAATATCCATATTTATTACACAATTCAGGCAGTCAGAGGGCCAATAACTAAAATCAACCAATCAAAATGCTCTATTGCTGGTCGATATTCTCTCAGTATTGGACTGGGCGCTGTCCCGAATGGTCCCGAATGATACTGCACTTGTGTCCCTTTGAACTTCAGTCGTATAATAAATCTCTAATTAACCAAGCTTGCTTGGGACCGTACTGGCAGAATATCGGCCCTCGGTCTTTTTTGGACGGACCGAGCGCAGCGAGGTCCGTACTGTCAAGACCCCAGGCTGATATTCTCCCAGTACGGCCCTCACGCTTGGTTAATAAGATATATATATACATTATACAATGAAAAAGTAATGAGATTACTCAAACTTATCAGGTAAAAGTTGATATCTTGATCTAACACTAAATTCTCATGACTACTTTACAAGGAAAAGTGTAGCAGCTAGGGAGGAGAATTAAGAATCAGCTGATCTTGAGTGTTGAAGGGTTAAGATATATGAACGTAAGATACTAACATAAATTTATTACAAAGAATTAATTTCTTTTGTGATGCTGACTTCATTGTGCCAAAATTTTGGAAACGTCAGTCATTACTACTATATATATACATACTACTAACAACAGTCCTTCTTAGGACTACTTTTACCTTGATGATGATTAATTGAATAATAATAATGATGATGATGATGATGATGATGATGATGATGATGATGATGATAAAGTATTTATATGGTGCTAGTATCCTCAAAGTGCAAAAGCGCTTAACAAGAGCAACACAATAGTAAAATTATAAAAGTGCTTTTTTAAAAACGAAAGTTTTGAGTTTGTTTTTAAAAATGGACACTGAGGAACTGTGATTAATTAAACTACATGATTTACCCTTAAACTCCCCTAAGTGACCAAGATAAAATTTTCCCTGTGATATTAATACAGTATCAAGTAGACGAGTGATGAGACAGTAAAGAAAAATAGAAATTGGGGGATTGCTAGTTGATCCAATACCAAATTCTCTAAACTTACATAATGAGAATTGCATGGCAGACAGTAAGGAGAATTTCTAATTTGATCTTGGGAATGAAAAGGTGAAATGATATTCTTTGGCTCAAACCATTCACTGTCTGATATTTTTATCTCTCTATCTCTCTCCTAGATCTGACATGAAAGCTGATGAATGGGTAACAAGACTGATAGATGATAAGTGAGTTGTGAACCTTTCGTGTCCTAACACCTTATGTTGATGCAAGTGCAAGCTTCTTTCAACTGAAACACTAAATCATATCGGGAAATGTCTGAATCGTATCTGGAAATGTGGACTAAGTGTGTTTGATGTACTTGTACTTGCCATCGGCTTACGGTAATTTGCGAAACGAAACGAAACAAGGTTTCGTTTAGACTATTGTAATGGACTTTTGTATGGCCTTCCTAAGTCGCAAATAGCCAAACTGCAACGTGTGCAGAATGCTGCGGCTAGACTTGTACTGGGTTCAAGTAAGTATTCGCATAATTTCTCCTGCGCTTTGTCAACTTCACTGGTTACGAGTACAACATCGTGTTCATTTTAAGATCATAATTTTAACATTTAAAGCTATTCAAGGATGGGTGCCTAGGTATATCATTGAACTAATTAACATCAAGCCTAGGTCTGTATGTAATCTTAGATGAAATCAAAGTTTATTACTTGACCCTCCTAAGGGGAAAATGCTTGCCACGTTGGGGGACAGATCATTCTCTGCTGCTGCCCCGTACTTATGGAATGCTCCGCCAGCTGAATTACGTGATATTCAATCATTTTCCATTTTTAAATGTAAGCTGAAAACTTATTTATTTCGTGCAGCTTTCTCAAAGTACCCTGTCTGACAATTACTTTTATTAGTATTACTAATTAAGTTCCTTATTAAGATCCTTATTCCTAATTAAGATCCTTATTATGGATATTCCATATTATTCTTATTTTTAACATACATGTAATTAGTTTTATGAATTTGAATTTACTGTAGTATTCTAAGTTGTTAAGCGCTGTTGATCATTGAATGAAAATAGCGCTCTAGAAGTTATTAAATTAAATTAAATTAAATAGAGAAATAGGAAACCTGGATTAAAATTTAACCTTGGGTTAGTGCCAATCATCCTTCAAAAAACTGGACCCTGAACAATAAGAATTATAGCTTACATCTATTTAGTAGACAGC